ATCTAAGTACACAAAGTACATATGTAAGCTACGCACTTAATATAGGTACACATTCAGGTGACACCGGCGGTGAGCTGGCTGACCCACCTGTTCGCCGTCGACGCTGTGGCGCGGGTAGTGCGGCAGGTAGTGGTGCACGGTGTGGCTCGCGTCCAGAAGACCGGCGTCCATAGCACGTGCCACCAGTGCCATCGTGATCGGCTTGCTGATACTGGCTATTCTCAGCACGTGCCGCGGAGTCATCGGAGTAAAATTCTCCACATCGGCGTACCCGAAACCTGCTCAGTAGGGGAGAGGGGACACCCCGAGGAGCGCGTCAACGAACGGCACTGTCGGGACCAGCTCGGCGCTGTACGAAAATAACCGACGGCGCTAAATGAGACAGACGGGGAGTTTACACCATCAACAATAAGCACCCATGGACCAGACAGGAGATCAACAGATTCAACACTAAGTTGAGACATATCGCATTCTGAATTCCATTCGAATTTCGATCTCACCCTCGGCCCAGACCGGACGTCCATTTTTTGAGACAGCGATTGTCACGCCCGGCGCTCCACACTCCTCCTTCTTTCTCAAGACCAGCTCCCGGGCAGCATCCTTTATTTTCTGCAAACACAGAATACATTCAGAAAGTGCTTACATCCAGGGATGCGTAGGGGCGGAGCTTCCTATACAGTTGCTGGGGCGGCTGCCCCACCAACTTGGTATTTTGCCCCACCAATAAGCGTTTTTCCCCATCAACTTCAGCTGATTTCTAAGACTTTGTTGCTTTGCAAAATAATCTTTTTCGCATTGAAGAGCTATGGAATGTATGTTTAACGCAAAATATTATATCTGTAATGATAGAAATTGATTCGGTGTGGCATTTTATTCAACCTCATAATCGGACATTGTGGGTTTGACGACTTTTTGCCCCACCAACTTCCCTGGAAAAGCTCCACCCATGGCCGGATGCGGAGTCGATGCATTTTGGGATGACTCCGACCCTGACCCCGGCTTCAAATATCGACTCCGATTCTGATTACGACTCTAGCTCCGACTCCAGACGTTTTCCCTATAGTCCAAGTCCAGGATAATAAATCTAATGGTGGCCAGATGCATTATTATGTCTGAAACGATTACTTGCCCATTCCAAAGTCTTGCATTGCAAAATTGTTTTAAAAATAGCCTATAGAATAAAAAGCAGGTTTCGGGGAATCTGCCGTCTTCTGCTTTTTTTTTTTTTGGCTAAAAACGCTCATCCAAAACAGGAATATGGCCTCTTTCGAGAAAATCTGACTTTGAAAGGTCAACGAGAGTAGTAGCTTCAAGCGAACAGGTGTAGGGCATGACACCGAGCCATGCAGTGTCAACTCCAACTCCGGAGTCGGAGTCTGTAAGATTTTGGCGACACCAACTCCACTCCGACTCGACGAAGAACTCTCGACACCGACCGGCTCCGACTCCGATTCCGCAGCCCTGCTTAAATTAATTAGTAAGATGGCCATCTTAACTGCCATCTGTACACCTGGATAGTAAAATGGCTCGTTCATGGCTGATCATGCAAAAGTAAAAGGATGTAGGTACTGGGGGAAATGAATCACAAACAAACAATGGTTTTTTTTTAAAGACAAATCATGAGAGAACATATTGTTACCTCTAATTTTGTATGATCCAGGTCACCAGGCCAAGATGCTTCTTGATCAGCAGATGTGGTTGATGATGGATCTTCAGATTGGAGAGTCCCAAAATATCCTTTCCCAAGTGTTACTGCAGCAGTGGTGGCAGCAAGAGCTGCACCCGCCTTGAGCAATTGAGGTAACATCCTGAAACATATCGACATTGAACATTAAATAACCACATAACTTGTTCCACATAACACAATTCAAATTTGAAGTAGGCTGAACTTGAAGCTTCATCTACAAAATGTTGATACCTATTGAAATAGACACAGAACAGCCAGTGCCCAGCACAAGTCAAGTCAGAGTTTAGGAACAAAACTGGTCACTCAGAGACATGTTGAATTGATCATTGCAATGGGCTTCTGATACAGGGTTGTCACACATCCATGATAGAAAGCTATTTCAAGGTGTTATGACTTTTTACTATTTCTTTAAAATAATCCAGCTACTTTTCGCTGAAATTTGGTACAGATCTCAGTCGAACCCATAGCTCAGTTGGTAGAGCGTTGGACTCCACGTGGTGAGAGCACGCGCTCCCGGTTACACCAGGGTTTGACGCGCGACGGGCGCTTGACGTTTATGGGCCTCCTGGCAGGTATGGTCAGTTGTGGCTGGTGGTACGCCGTAGCCAGGCGAAGTCAGTGACAGGATCCGTCGTCATAGGCGTCGCCAGAGATTTTCGGTTAGGGGGGGCCGGAGGGGGTGGCAAAATCAACTTTTGTGTTAAATCTTGCCTTTCCCCAGTCGTTACTCACTCGTTTTACATATCATTCGACGCGCAATGGTGCGAGGAATCCCAAGATTCTTACAGACAAGGAATCCGATGGTGATAAAGTTTTCCTTCTAGCTATGACATGCATTTTTACAGAAAAGTTCGAGATTTGACATTTCTGGACAAAAACGACCGGTAGAATTACAGTGGCTGCGATTGCCGATGCACTGCAGAGGGCCCCTGTGCAGACGCTCGTCGCTCATGATCATCATCCAGAAAAAAGGTGAAAAACGCTCCATTTAATCGGATCACCTTGCTAAAACCTCCATTCACGCATGAATGCAGAGGTTTTACATGAAATGCTTATCCCAGCCGCCGATAGTAGCTAAGTTGGGCATTCGGCGGAGAGTGAATGTCGGAAGTGTGAATCGGAAGTAATTCATCTTTGCTCCAGTGAGAGGAAGCGTTTTGTTCACCCGAGCGTGAACAAAAAGTTTCTCGTTTTTCGTGTGAAGGGAAGCGCTGCAAACGCGAAATAAAAATGTTAAACGGAACCACAAGTTACGCACGGCATACCGGTAAGGGATCCCTTAGAGATAGGGTCGGGCGGGACTTCCAAGGCCATTTCAGGGCACTCAGGGTCAGTGTGGACTCTCAGAAGCCTGCTTACTGCTTAGGATCCCAGAGATCGATGTGGGTCGCCCCAAATATTTACCCGTTGGGTACGTCAGTTTTAGCAGGGTAAAACCTTGTTATGGGGAGGCAGGAGGGCACAGTGGGTCTGTGGGAACCCCCTTCCTCAGACGGGCCTCTGTGCAGGTACTCCCGATCCTCATCCAGAAGAAATTAAAAATAATCCAGGCAGTCGGTTCGCCCTTCTAAAAATCCGTTTCTTGTATGCATAATTGCAGTTTTTGTGATGTATCTTCGACTCGACTTCGACCCCGGCTTCCAAAATCAACTTCGACAACGGCTCCCCAAATCGGCTCCGACTCCGGTCGGAGCAGTCGACCCGGCCGACTCGCAAAGTCCAACCCCGACCCCGTAGCCCTGCTCAGAAGCACATGTGGTCCCTCAGATGCTGGATTTGGGCCTGCAAGAGCCCTGTGTTGCCTCAAGAGCTCAGCTGGGCTAACTAATAGAGGTCAGCGAAGGTTTCAAAAAAAAATCTTTGAAGACCCTTGTTCAAAGATCCGTGTAGGCTTTCAAATGATAGACCTGCCGTATGGATGATTGGAATGAGCTATCAGAGACTGCCATTGGCCATTGGACACCGATAGGACCCTCATAGGCCAGTATGGGGCCGTTGAGGCAGGCGGAGGCCCTCAGAAAGACTGTCCAAGTAGCCCTCAAATATCTGCGTCTGAGCCATCAGAATCGGCAGTGGGAAACCGAAGTGGAGTTCAGAAGTGCCGGCCTGAGGGCCCGAGAGGTCGGTTTGGGTCCCTTGGGAAGTTAGCGTGGGACATTCTTAGAGTTCAGTGGGGCTTTTAAGGTGCATAACAGCGGCCTTTAAAAGCCCCGTGGCACTTTAACTGCACTTGAACATGTCGCAGGCATTTAGCCAGAGCTGGAAAAGACCCTGAGTCCCTGACTCAACCCCAAAATTTTTGAGCTAGGTCTTCAAACAAAAATTTTGGTGAAAACTGAGAGTAGAATTCAGCTAAAAACAACCAAGTATTGAATCAAAGTCAAAGTCCGGAAAAGGGTCAAAGTCCAGAAGATTTTGGTGACTCTCACTCCGACTCTTGCTGGGACTTACGACTCTAACCAATTCTGTCTTCAAAACCATTTTTGAAAACTACCCCCATTTTTGCTGATCTCAAAATCTCATCGGATCTGCATCGATCGGAGGCTGGAGGGGCAAACTGCCTCGCTTGCCCCCCCCCCCCGTGGCGACGCTAATGCCTATGCCCAAGCGCCCTAAATGCCCACAGTGTTTGGTGGAATATGAAAACAGGGCACCTGGGGCAATTTGATCAAGGCTCTTGAAATTCGCTTGCAAAAATCAGTGACAATTAGCCTGTGGAAGGCAACAACAGAAGGAGAATTAATTTCTTTGCAGCCACATGACATAATATGCCTTCAAGTGCCCTGTTTTCAGATTCCACCCTTAAGCTAGCACTTCCTAAAACAGGGCCCCAGTGTCCAACGCGTGGCGGGGGGAGGGGAGGAGCCGGTAGCAGAGGGGGAGGTAGAGTGGCTGGTTTTAAGTGGTTTGCAAAGGAATTTCTACACTACCTTACCTTACCTTACCTTAATTTGATCGGAATTTTAAAGGCCACTTGGCCTGTAGGGAACCGTTCTCATCGAGCTCGAATCCTTTGAGACTTGACTATCTCCAGTCAGGTACCAGGTACCTGAAGTTTGCCCAGTGGGCGTCGAGTTCGGATTTGAACTGCTCAACAGAGCCGGCGCCAACAACTGACATGGGCAGGCCGTTCCAGTCATTGACCACCCGGGCACTGAAAGCCTGTCTCCTTGGTCTTGACTCAGCTCTGGGTTTTGCGATTTTCCATGGATGGCCTCGGGTGCGGTCGGATGCAGCGGCAGTAAAGAACTCTTCTGGAGCCAGATCAACCCCTCCATGAAAGATTTGGTACACCTGGATCATGTCTCCTCGGCGTCGCCGATAAAACAGCGATGGCAGTTTCAGTGCCTCCAGTCGTTCCTCGTACCGGCGGTGTCTGAGAGAGGCTACCAGGCGGGTTGCCCTTCTTTGGACTCGTTCGATTAGAAGTTGATCAGCTCGATTGAATGGGCCCCAAGCCACATTGCCGTACTCCAGGTGAGGGCGAACGAGAGTCTTGTATAGCAGGGGAAGAGTACACTCATCAATCAATTCGAACGACCGCCTGATCACTGCTAAGATCTGGTTGGCCTTTGCCACGGCTGCAGATGCTTGCCTCCGGAATTTTAGGGAGGAATCTACCAGAATGCCAAGGTCCCGTTCAGATTCAGTCTCTTCCAGACACACTCCTCGCATCGTGTATCGGAGTTTGGGATTATTTGTACCCAGATGCAGAACCTTACACTTCTCTTCATTGAACGGGAGCTGCCATTTGTCAGACCATGCCACAAGTGCATCAATATCAGCTTGGAGGGCTAGCGCTCCCGATGTAGTCGCTGCTCCATCAGCCAGTAGGGAGGTTTGAGGTCGAGTAGCGGTCTGTCTTCCATCAACAGGCTGCATAGGTTGAGTAGGGTGGTCACTGACAGCTCTGGGTTGAGCGACAGCCAGCCCTCCAACCTCAGCTGCCTCGAGATGGTCATCTCTGTCACTCTGGTTCAGTCCTCCATCGGCAGGCTGCGTTGGTCGAGTAGGGCGGTCACTGACAGCTCTGGGTTGGGCGACAGCCAACCCTCCAAGCCCAACCCCAGCTGCCACGAGTTGGGCATGTCTGCCGCTCTGGTTCTGCCCACCGCCAACAGGCTGCACTGGTCGAGTAGGGTGGTCACTGACAGCTCGGGGACGAGCGACAGCCAACCCCACGGCCTCAGTTGCAACATCCTGGCCATCTTTGCCGTTCTGCCTGGATACGCCGCTGTAGACCTTTGTGTCGTCGGCGAACATCTTGGATGTACAGTTAACGGCAGATGGGATGTCATTGACGTACAGCAGGAACAAGAGGGGACCAAGAACCGAACCCTGAGGAACTCCACTCTTGACAGGAACCAGATCAGAGTGGCTTCCATTGACAACGACTTTCTGGTTTCTTTCCGACAGGAATGCTTCGATCCATCGGAGGAGTTTGCCAGAGATACCGTAGCTGCGCAGCTTCCTCAGAAGTCGGTTGTGTGGAACAGCGTCGAATGCCTTGCGGAAGTCCAGGTACACCACATCAACTGAGTCACCTTCCTCGATCATCTTACACCAGTCCTCCAATACCTCCAGAAGTTGTGAACTGCATGATCTTCTGGGCCGGAATCCGTGTTGGTGTCTGGAAAACTGGTTTGTGAGGGACAGAAAGTCCATGAGCTCATCGCGGATCAGGGACTCCATGACCTTACAAGGGATTGATGTGAGACTGATGGGCCGGTAATTCCCCGGGGTCTGCTTGTTACCCTTCTTGTGTATGGGAAAGACTGACGCTGTTTTCCATGAGGCTGGAAGGACTCCTTGGTCGAGGGAAGCTTCAAACAGGGAAGCCAATGGACCAGCCAGGGGCTGAGACGCCAACTGCAGAAGCTTGGGGTGCAAACCATCGGGACCGGGAGTGCTGTCCGTTTTGAGAGAGGAAAGCTTGTTCCGGACTGCCTCAGCTGTTATGCGGATTGACTCGATTGGAGGACCTGAGAAGTTGGTTGTCGGTTCCGGGATCTCGGTCGTATCTTCGTCAGTGAATATACTACTGAAAAAAGCATTCAGGAGTTGCGCCTTTCCCGTGTCATCGCTCACAGTCCGCCCTGAGTCATCAGAAAGGTCATCGATCTTGGTCTTGGTCCGCAGCCTTGTGTTGGAATACCGCCAGAAAGCCTTTGGATTGGCTTTGATGTTCGTTGCTAGCTTTTCCTCAAAGTCACGTCTCAGTCTTCTAGTCAGCGCACGCAGTTGATTTCTGCACTGAGTGTACCTGCAGTAGTCCAACACATCCTGGGAGTGAGAGTATATCTTCCATAGCTTCTCTTTCTTCTTTTTTAGGCGCAGAGTCTGCCCATTTATGTAGATGTTCTTACGGCTTCCTTTTCTCTTACTTTTCGGGAAACATTCCAGAGCAATCCTGGTGAGGTTACTGGTAATGAAGTCATACTTTTGGTCGATACCGAGTGCATCTGCTGACTCCCAGTCCAACTCCTGGACCAGCCTGATGTACTTGTCTGGGTTTCCTTTGAAGTAGTTGGGACGAGCAGAGGGGAACTCATGTTGGTATGTGTAGCATGCCAGATCGAACCGCAGGATGACATGGTCACTCCTTCCAAGGCCTGATTCATGGTAAAGGTGCTTTACCATCCCATCTTCATTGGTGAGGATCAGGTCCAGGATGTGGGGCGTCTCACCTGAACGGAAGCGAGTGGGTCGAGTGACTTGCTGAGTGAGGAAGCAATCATTTATCACTTCCAGAAACTGGTGTGAAACATCCAGGGGAGGAGCAGGAGAGAAGACATTCTCCCAGTCAATGTGGGGCATGTTGAAGTCCCCGCATATGAGAATATGGGAACAGGCTGAAGTACAGGCTGTACGCAAAAGTTGACATAGCTCAGTGGAACTCTCTTGTGTGCTCAGGGTTGGACTGCGGTATAGGCATCCAATCAGAAGCTTGTCATTTCCCATCAGTGGGAGTTGCAACCAGAGCTGCTCAATATGAGTTGTCATGCCACAGTTGACCACAGATGCTTTCAGATTGTCTTTGATGTAAATGCTTACTCCACGACAGCCACTTGAGCCCAGGTTGGATACAGAAGGGTCAAAATTTGTGTGCATGGAATACCCAGGGACAGCTAGCAGAGCTGTAGCAATGGGAACAGTTTGGGCTTTTGGAATGACTTCAGTAATCATGATGACGTCTGGCTCATTCCCAGCAATTCTCATGCAGAGCTCGTCTCTTTTGTTAGGAAATTGGTCAGCATTCGTGTAGAGTACTTGCAAGTTTGTCCTTTTCCTGCCCTCAGAATTCACCGCTAGTCAAACACTACCAGAGGCTGTCCCACTGTTCCCGTTTGCTGAGCCTTGGCCAGCATTGGCTGCCTGGGTAGGGTGGTCACTGCCAGCTCCTGAGTGAGCGGCAGCCAGCCCTCCAGCTCCAGCAACAGGTGCATTGGCCTCAGGAACAGGACAGTTGCCTCTATGACTTGCATTGTCTGGCTGGGCAGTTGTCTCGGCCTGTTGGTTGTTGTTCCGGTTACCTTCAGACTGTTGGGGAGGCTGTGGTTGAGTAGGGTGGTCACTGCCAGCTCTGGGAGCGACAGCCAGCCCTCCAACCTCAGCCAGCTCAGTTCTGGAATGAGTGACAGGCAGCGCTCGGTCCTGCCCAACAGCTGCCTCAGCTTCAACGGTGGCAGGGGCTGTAGCACCATGCCAGTTTGTTGCTGTGCCCCTGTGATTTGGCCCAGATGATGGTGGTAGGCTGACAATCCTATTGCCTCTGATAGTTAAGTTGGTTTCACCAGCCCTCTTCCGACTATTTAGTTCGTCTCTCAGCCTCTTGTTAATTTCCCTCTCCTTTCTGGTCAGATCAGGAGTGACATATACCCTCGGAAACTTTTTAGAGTGACGCAGCTGGGGGGCGAGTTTCAGGATGTCATATTTTGTTGAGACATTTTCCAGGGCGACTATCAGAAGCCTATCCTTGCCCTCAATTTTCTTTCCGACTCGAAAAGTTTTTTGAACGTTGACCTTCAACTTCATTTCTTCCTTGATCATGGTTATGAAGAGGGAGGAATCGTGTCCAGATCTATCTGTCTGGGTCTCGCTATCCTGTTCAGGCAAGTTGTGGACTACAATGTTGGATTTCCTCTTTTCTTTGTCCATATAGTCATCCAGGGCAACAGACAGGTCCTGTACACCCTTGGATCCAGCTTGAGTATCCACTTTAGGGAAGGCAGAGATCTGATCACTGACCTTCTTCACTACCTCGTCGCAGGTGCCCTTTACCATATCAGCATATGTCTTATGCAGCTCATTCCCCTTCAGAGACTTGTCTACAAGCTGGATGGTCTTCTCCCGGTCAGACTTCAGTTCTGCAAACTGGACTTTGATGACTGACTCATACTTTTTCAGAGATTGCTGAACTTCAGCCATGTGGCCACGGAGGGTTTCATCGAGCAGGTCAACCTTACTTGACAGAGACGAGAGCGAGGGGCGATGTGGTTTACCCCTTTTCAGATCTGCCTTGCAACTAGTGCAGAGCCAAGCAAGAACCTTGTATTTTTCCAGCGCTTTCATAGCCAGCTTCGGGATGCCCTGGCATGCAGTGTGGTACCAGTTGTGACATCTGTCGCAAAGGACACCCGCATCCCCAGCTTGAACAGCCTCTCCGCATGGCTTTCCAGGCCCACCCTTACAGATGTTAGCCTCGCTTCCTGAGCTCGTGTCGCTGGAAGAACGGGAGATGGACACAGACTCATTTTCCCACCTTTTGAAAATACTTTCATCCAGCTTACCCACAGCCTTATCACCCACAGGCTTGTCCATACCTTTGTTGACGAGGCGCTCAGTCCCTGGTTGAGAATCACTTTCACCTTCCTTGCTTTCTCCTACTTTAACCTTGCCAACAGCCTGGGATGACACAGAATCACCTGCATTCTGCTTGCATAATTCACCTTTTTCACTTGTTTGCGATTGGGACGATTCCAGCGTGGGGCTCTCAGTTTGAATCTTTTCCATTTCCGTTGCTGCAACAGCTGATGAAATTGGAGCGGCCACTTTACGTCGAGTTGAAACCGGTGAGTGTTGTAACGGCATCGTACAATCTTCAGGCACCAAGAGAAGATGGATAAGCAAACTTCAAATTATTTCAAGCAATCCTAGGCCAGGAACCAATAGCCAGCTAAACTCGTTCAAATTCTAAGAGAGCTCGATGAGACACGTCCGTTCCCGCCGAAAGCGCAACGCGGAACTACCTACCCTAACCTCAATTTTCCTCATTCCAACATCCCCCTTCTGAATCTGAATCTGAATCATGATCCAGGGACCAAATTCCAAAACACCTTGAGACCTCTGACCTGGAGCAACCTTCCGTCCACCAGGAGCACAATTCAATTGCAGCAGCTTGAAGTATTTGCTTGTTTGTCGCACTGAATTCAAAATAACAAAGCAATGATAAAAATACCAATAAATGGGTATAAATTACACTCCCATGACATGCAGCTTTACACGAGCTTGAAGTCAAGGCCGTTCTTGAAGCTTGTGCAAGTTTGTGTTTGTATTGCCCTCGTCTAGGGCGTGTTCAATATGTTGCTGATGGCAATCAAGAACAGTTTTTCATTGGTACATTACACAGTTACTATGGTAACAGAGACGTTCCTTTGAAATTTGCAGAGTGGTCGCTAACAGCAGAACATAATTATTCCTAGCTCAACGTCGCGGTCGGTTTCAATTTTTGATGCGGGGGTTGAAAAGCTTATTTTATGCATTTATTCTCATTCATTTAATTTATTGACACTGAATTTATGAAAAACCTGACATTGCTCTGTGCAATGGGATTACATAGCAAACTGCAAACTTGCAACCTTAGTGCAAACTCAAACTGCAATGTGACATTGACATTAGAAAAAGACTGTGTTGGTGATGCAACTGATGCATTATTGACGGCTGGCTCTTGCGGGTCTAAAGAGAGGACGGGGTTTTGACTTGAACTTGGGGCACTTCAATTTTAAGTTTTGTTTTGCTGCTGTGCATTTATTCATAGCCTTTATTTATTCCTCCTGCAGCGCCCATAAATATTAAGCTTTTGGGAAGAAATTAGACATTTTGACACTTTGAGAAGGAAGCGTAAACCAAGTATTTATATTTTTCTATTTGAATTTTGAAACCTGTACTGGGCAGGAGGACGCCCTTGCGTCAGCGCAAGCTGCAGCCCACAAGGCAAATGTTTTCGAGACATTTCTGGCCTGTATTCAGGAGACTGATGCATTGTATATTAATCTGAGTCCGTCAGTCCAGTATGATTTTTGCCAGTATGGTGATTGGCGGTTTAGGGCAAGTAGCTGCCCTTGAGAGCTGCGGCTTATATTAACTACAACTAAGAAAAGAAATGCATCAAATGCTGCCGGTGTATAATCTCTAAAAAGCTCTCTGGTTTTCTATCCTAATCCTTATATCTTGCTTCAGTGACTGTTTATGGTTCTACTCTTTCAAATATGTTTTATTTTATATTGCCTATTCATTGTTTTTATCCAAGAAAAACATGAAAAATTGTTCAGCTGAGAAAGCTCCAGGCTACAAATCAAATGCCCAGTGAGATGTTCAGTACCTAGTACCTACCTGTTGAAGCTTCTAAAATGTTATGTCAATGCTTTGCTATTAATCTGATTTTCATTTTCAGATGAATTTCATTTCATTTGTGTGAGCTATAAACAAGAAAGCCATGGATGCTATTAGGAGGAACAAGCAGATTGACAGTTTGAAATTTATAATATCTAAATGTCAGAGTGGAAATAGTATGCAGTCTACCTTGGCATCTGCAGAAGAGTCCAAGTTGAGCTCTGAGGTGGACAGTTTGATGGATACCACAAAGGATGGTGGGGTATGCTCAGGCTATCATGACCAACTAGTGAGTATTGCCGATCCCCTGTAGATCTTCTGCAAGGATAACACACTTTGTGCTATGTATCATAGGGTTTTTGGGGCATGTCAACCCCACTCTTATTTGTGATCAAGTATTTCTCTGTTTTACAATTTCTGAATGCTTCTTACACTGCTGTTGGAGGTGCGATGTCACCACCTATCAACACTGACTCGAGCCACAGCGGCGGCAGTCGACGCACGCAGTCCTCCCTGACATAGTCTTGTTGCTGTGCCGCGGCAGCTGAGGGAACTGTCGGTGCTGGCCGAGATGCGCCGACGGCTGCATGAGGCGCGGCTGGCGTGTGACGCCGGTCTGCTCACCGACACCGAGCGCCGCCTGCCCGGAGGTGCCCTGCTCGGTAGGTGGCGCTGCCCCGCGCGGAGAGCGGTGTCCGGGGTGGGTGGGATTGAAGGGAACGTTATGTGAGCGGAGAGAGGAATTATGCACAAAGATCATCAGATTTGACTTGGAAATGGTTCCGGAATGTTGTGGTACACGTTGTGTCGCTAAATTTTGATTACCGGCTTTTTCAGTCTTGCTCGTTGCCGCGCCCGTCTGTCATTGTGTTGCAGAAGTCGGACATGCTCAGTCCAGACTTGTAAGCGATTCAAAAAAATTCAATCAATTCAATCACGACTCACTTGATGAAATGACTGATTCAATCATAACTCAATCAAACAGTCTGATTTTCCAAGCGATTCAATCACGACTCATGGACCCTGTGATTCAACTCAATCACGACTCATCCCATTATCGTGATTCAGGGAATGACTCAACTCATGATTTAACTCAACGCGATTCAATCAAGATGTTATCTAAAATTTATACATATGTGATATCAATTTAAGTCATTTTTGGAAACTGATACCAAACAGATGCCAACCAAATACACTAAGAAAATACCAAAAAAAAATCATAGAAAAGTACTATATCTATACTGAACTCAACAAAGTTGTAGATATTTATATAAATACGGTGTGAAGATGATAATTTAAGTACAGAAAAGACAAGCTCTGTTACAAATGAAGCTACCAGAGGACTTATAAAAATTCATTTATCTGCTTGGCGCTTGCAAAAAGAAACATGCAAAATTGCACAGGACACTGCCACATATTATCAGCATCATCGAAAAGGAACAAAATTTGCAAATCAATTGTGATACCCAAACTTAAATAGCTGGTGATCAGCCATGCAAAAAAAAATATTGATTGATACTTTATGAGGCAGTGGTAAAGCCAGTAAAGCATTACACAGGACTAGACATTTTCGGCGTGCTACAAGTTTTCTTTACTATCAAGAATACGGAATATCGACACATACGAAGTTATTTGCTCACTATGCTAACCCTAGTGTCCGGTATCTCGGCCGCACGTTTTCAGGTGAGCTGATCAGTGAGATTGACCAGCTGGGCGGCCAGCTGGCCAGTATCGGTGAGAACATGGAGCCGCTGGGCTGGCGGCTGCTGCAGAACAAGTTCTCAGACGGACTGGACCTGCCCTATGAGCAGCACGGGTGAGCGAGCGGCGAAGGGGTCGGTGAACCAAATCTGCACTGGCCAACTGAACGATGCCGGCTCATTGATAACACACTGCATGACTGCGATTGTCACTGACTTATAGTATTTCATGCATTGCGCTCATAAAGGTATGATATGATCGTACTTCTGCATCGTCCTTTGGATGAAAGTATGGATGGTAGCGGCAGAAGCCTTAAACATCTTACAAGCCCGCGTTTGCCTATATCAGCAATGTGTTGTGTAGCATACATTAGGTAAGTGACGCCCTTGTCTCCTTGCAGTGCTGTGAAGTCGCTGCTCAACCATATGGCCGCTCTGATAAAGGACGTCAATGCCATTGAGCTAGCATTCCAAAAGGCGGCGATGTACAAACCAAACAAGAAATTGGTAAGGCAGATCTTGTTATTAATGAAGCATCTTTCTCTCTTATGATGATGATTATCTTCTGCTAGCTTTCTTGGGAAAGTCAGCGAAGTTTCATGCCTTAGTCACCCCTGATATATAAGGGCTTTAAATTAGTAAGATATGCTACATAAATGCTTCCTTCACAACTGACCTATTCAAAACTGACGACGAAATAATGGCCTTGATTGCTCGCTCTGTTCTGTCTCATTGCGTCTACCGGTACTGAAAGGGCCTTCTGCCGCATGCTTGTACCACATACATCTCTGACATACGACTTTGGACAGGGCGAGGACCTGGCCAGGGCCGGTAGGGACCTGTGTGAACTGCGGACCAGGCTGGACAACATCCGCACCCTGCGACAAAACTGCCGATCAGCTGGTAGGTACTGGCTAGCTGCGTTCTTTGGTTGACTGATGGGCGACCGCTGAGCGAACCCCGTCCAGGGTCGGCCGTTGGAGTGGAACGCACAGTGTACGCGATCCGCGCAAACCGAACCATGTTTCCAGTTCGCCTGTGTGTATCAGATACAAAAAATGTTAGAGTCTGCGGCAGTATGCTCGACCAACCACTAGTTGCCCCACGGTATTGCGGGATTTTTATGATTTATTCGATCTAGTAGTGAAGTTACTCTTTCAGTGTTTTTTTCCTGACATCTCTGCCAACCCATCAGTTTACCGTGCTTCTGACATCTCTTTGTTTGTTTTTTTTTTTAACAGCCACTGGTTTTGCTTTGTAAACAGCTTTACTGTCCCGTCAGCTGTCTTTGACGGTAAAAAAAAACATTTTTGTCTTTTACAGCCGATTCGTCCGACCTATCATCAGCGACGGCCGTCTCAGCGCTCGGCCTCGGCGTCTCCCAGCTACAGAACTCAGTGTTCTGCTCAGACAGTGTGTCTCAGTGACCTTGGTGACCCGATTTGCACAGCGGTGACCTGATAGGGATCACTGAAACCCTGGTGGGTCGCCTGCACTCTGATTATCTAGCGAACTGACGAAGTGGTTACGGGACGAGCTTGGTGAGCAAGGACTGTCGCTTTGTCACGAAGCGCTGTTGAAATTCTATGACCATCATCATCATCGTCATCATGTCACGTCATTTCAGCACTCATTCATAGTTCGCCTTGTGTTAACAGCTGTATAATTTGTGTGCTCAACGCTTTGGCTGGTGGGTATGCTTACGCAAGTAATATATGATTTGCGTATATTGTTTTTCACATTGCGATACATCTTCAATTGGGAAGCCTATGTTGATCTGAAAATGGTTTCTTCGAATTGGCTAACAACAATTAAGTTTTATAGTCGAATGTGAGTAGGATCAAATAACTACGACATGTGCGTAATGCCTCTAGATCTATCAATAAAGAAAATCGACATTTATTTTTGACAGACCCTCAGGAACTTTGTTTTTTGCCTGTGTAAGAACAAATGAAGATTAATGTATTCGACAATAATGAACAGGTACCCAGCTCACTCATACCTAATTGTGTTGAAAGGTGACTCGCGGTTTGGTATGACCGTGACCCTACTGACTTGAGCTGATCCTCGAAAGTCGACCCAAATCAATGTTATTACTGAGTTAGTATTTTGTTCGTAAATTGTCCCTAAATTTCAACTCGACTGCTGTAGCGATTTCACCGGCAACCAACATTTTAGATATCCAACATCCTGGATGCTGGACTAACTTCGCTCGGCATGCCGCTTTGAACCACATGAACCGAACGAGAAGCAGTGCTACCAAAGCAATATCCAACAATACTCTTCAGAAGGTTAATAAACGTTGTTTACGAGGATCGATGTGTTGCCCATTTGAAACGATATGACGTCAGCAGCAACGACCCCGCCCAATTTTAAAACGATATGACGGTGAGGGCTGAACTCCACATCAGGGTTATGCAGTTATCAGAACCTGTTTCTGCTGTTATACCTACTTGTGCTGTGTACACTGTACACCTTAGTCGGCGGGTGAAGTGTACCTAAAACTAACAACTTCCTGGCTGTTTACGCTGTTTTAGGTTGATCTTTTGAAACCAGCTAGTTACCCTGAGATCGGCAAATTAGATGCCTACAATGGTTTCACACTGTGTCGAATGTTTTCCGTAACCGGCAATCCGTCAGCAACGACCCCGCCGCACACTGCGACGCCCGATGTCGATGCCTGCACCTGCCGAATGCTGCACCGCATGACAATAACGTTAATAAACTGGCCCATAGATGGCTCTGTCATTTGCGCCTGTGGCATACTGCACCGCAAAGCCTTTTGTCAAAGCTCACGCTCACCCATAGATGGCTCTGCTGTCTGCGCCAGGCGCCTGCCTTATGCTGCACCGCACAACAGTGCGCCCATATCGGCCCATAGATGGCTCTGCCGTCTGCGCCTGTGGGCTGCGAGATACTGTACCGCATGGTAATAATGTTAGCGAACTGGCCCATAGATGGCTCTGCCATCTGCGCCTGCCGCATGCTGCACCGCATGCGTGTTTCTTTTTTCCAACCAAAGGAAGGCGCTATACCCGAAGATGCTTCTTGGTAAACAAACCAAACAAAAACAAACATAACCTAACCTCACCTGACCTAACCTACAACCTACAAACCTACAACCTACAACCTAACCTACAACCTAACCTACAAACCTACAACCTACAAACCTACAACCTAACCTACAACGCGCCAAAAAGTTCGGCCGGCGGCGGGGATCGCACCCGAGTTATTAGATCACGAGGCGAGTGTGCTCACCACTACACCACGCAGCCAGCTGGCCGGTCGGAGGTGTAAGTCACTTTTCAATGACGCAATGGGATATTCTCCGTATTGCGCCTTCCTTTGGGTGGAAAAAAGAATTACGCGCACCGCATAGCAATAATACAAACTGGCCCATAGATGGCTCTGCCGTCTGCGCCTGCCACATGCTGCACCGCATTGCAGTAGTGTTAGCAAACCGGCCCATAGATGGCTCTGCCGTCTGCGCCTGCCGCATGCTGCGCCGCATGATAATATTGTTAGCAAACAAAGTGGTCCATAGATGGCTCTTTTGTCTACGGTTTCGGGTCATGCCAGGTATGGGCCATTTTGTAGGAATGGATGGTGACTTCCACCCTCCAACCTTAGGCATACTACGGTATTAATAAATTTCTATACCGAGCTGTCGGTGCCGGAGGACAAGCCGAAGGCCGCTGGTGAAAGAATAGGCACATTGGTCTCAAGATAAGGGTCCAGGCAACCTGTAGTTTTGAAGCGGTGAATACCCTCGCCACAGCTCGGGCCGAGTGCGCCCCTCCCCGCCCAACCTCACCCCACTCGAATTGAAGCGAGGGTACGGGTATTCACCGTATCCTAACTACAGGTCGTCTGGGCCCTTATCTTTGATACCAATAGTATGTACATAGAGTTAATAGAGGACAGAAAGTTTATATTGGAAACTTGATTGATCTCATCAATACTTTCACTGATTTTGACTTTTGGTTGAACCCAAGAGTCTTGCTTAAACCTATATACAATGCATAGTTCATCTTCACGACCTGACTGCCCCTGGCCTGAATTGGAAATTAAGGTCCTTTAGTGAAATTGACGTTTCTCAAAGGACGTTCGACTTGGCTGGAATTTGGGAATCGCGCGGACCGACAATGGGCCGCAGAAGTTGGCAAATAACGATTTGCGACCGATCTACTAGCCGCGAGTAAGTTTTTCATTCCATTCATTTATTTTTCGACCGAACGAGCTATTTTATTTCATATTTGTGCCTCTGTCAATAGTGACAAGTCCCACTGGAAACCATTACGCCGATTGCTACCGGTCTGCGCTGCTATTCGTTTCATTGTACCCGTTGGCCGCCTAGGTGTTGGGAATTGAGATGCTCGCCGATTCGCCGTAAGTGTGCAGCAGTAATGGCTGACAGTGCCCTTTGACGGACCGAACTGCGCGGCGCGGTGATATCGACTTTCGCTACCTGACGTGGCGAGCTGGGACTAGCAATCGGCGGAGTGCGGGCTTTGGCTTGTTACTCGGCTGAGTCCACCGTCTTCACGTCACACGGATACCTAGAGATAGTAGGTAAGTGAACGGCGCTGGTTGTTGCCAATTCGAAAAAGGTTTGACGAAGGCTAGAATGATATATCCAATCACGAGATGTTGTGGAGTGCAGACTAATCCACGATCCGCTCTCGGCCCTCGGGGCAATTCTTTTATGTTACATGATATTTAATTAGAAAAAGTTTGATATCGATACGTGTGGCATTGAAATAGTTCAGGGAGAGTTAATTTTAACCCGGCAGTTGCTGGGGTATTTCGCCACCCACCGTTTGCTGGGGGGGGGGGGGGCGTTAAACGCCCCCAGCCGATAACTCGAGAACCAATAGGCGCAGCGAAACGCACGAGGCGGCAAACGAAAGAACGCGACGAGACGCTTCAGATGAGTACTTTAAAGTTGAATTTTGAGGTCACAGGTCGGGTCAAGGTCAGGTCAAACACCTGAAATCGGGCTTTCAGTAGCATGGACTTCAGGACTTCGCAATGGGCGCCTCTCGTCATAAACTCTGTCAAAACGGTGCACAATCCATCATATTAGGCCTACAAGAGTGTCAGCTCCATGTAGGGGTCATTCAAGCATAGGTCAGGGTCAAGGTCAGGTCAACCGGGTAGGCACATATCTCCGAAAATCAAAACTGATATTCGCAGCCTGTGACACATGTTTTATGGGTAATTTTGGGCGTAGAACACGATGGTGGCATTCATTTAATCATATGTGTACGTGTTCGGCTTAAAAAGTTAAATTTAAGAAATGCATGTATCATGGTCGTGAAGTAGTCACGAGAAATTGCCGAGATTTAGTTCAAGATTTTGGAAAATGCGGAACGATAATCAATAATCGAAGATAGCCATTTGATTGTTCATGGTATTGGCAGTCTAATGGCGTTTACGGCATGTCTGTATGTCTATTCTGTGATTTTATATGATTTTTTGAACATATGCCGTTTTTGGTCGAAAACTCAGAAATCATGACGTCACTAAAACCTCGATATCTCAAAAATTTTCCGAACGATTTTTTTTAAACTTTGTCACAATAAACTTGAATCAATTCCCTACAGGTACCCAAAATTTGGCGCCTGCGGCGCGCCGTTTTTATGCTATGGCCCGGCGAAAAAAGTGGGGGCGTTTAACGCCCCCCCCCCCCAGCAACTCGCGGGTTAATGCAAAAATGGACCAGTAGATATTTATTTATTTTTTTAAAATACAAATCTCCATTAGAAACGTCAGATTTTCATCTTTAAAGGGACACTCCCACCTTAACATTAGTTTTGAGTTGAGATAGCCAAATTGGTGGCCATGGCCTGCAAATACCGGTTTGGGCACTCACAACATCGAAAAATGCTTTAATTCGAAGATATATAATTTCAAACTTGCAGTTTTCGGATTCTAAGGGGCTAATGCATTGGAATGCCCCCTTAGAATTTGTGACGTCAGCGGAGATCTAACGATTTTTAAATCTTAGACTAAAACCATCGTTAACACGTGGTGGTATAGGTACGCTGCTTTGCGCGCAACGTCTGCCGCACTTTAAGGCTGCCAAATTATTGCTTCCAAATAAAGTCGCTAGTAAGCGTATTTGGAAATTCCGACCTCGACGAGCATCTGTGGTAGAAAACCACCACTTTGGTAGGGGAAACCAGGGGCGGTCGCAGACTTGGAGTTTGGGGGGGGGGGGGCAACTTGGCAAAGGGGCCCCTGCGCTGACCCGTGGGGCCCGGTGCTAGCTTAAAGGGGCCCACGGGCGTAGTGCATGGGTGCAGAAATCCAGGCCATGGCCGGTGAAGCGGGGGGCGGGGGGGGGGGGAGGGGTAGGGAGCGGCACCCGAGCGGAGGGTCATTGCGAGCTTTGAGGATGTTCCATGTCGAAAAGGTACCGATAAGTGCATTTTAAAGCATTGATAATGCCAATAACTCACGCAAATGTGAATGGACTACCGCAAAAGTAAAGACGGCTAACTTTGCCATTTTCTGAGATCATCGTGGTAAAACTTTTGACAGTGGGTCATCGGTATCTGTTCACTATTCAATCACACGTGTTCCGTTTCATTTTTGTTTTTTAGGTACTTGAGCACAAATGTAAGTTTTGAAGACCATTACAGTAGCAAATGCTTCGAAAGATGGATAGTGGGCAAAATATCCTAAATTTGTCGTGCTGCATGGAAAGTAGTGTTGCTGAGAAAAGGGGGTTTGTTCCAGATTATTGTGGATGCAGAATACATTGTCTGCACCCTATGCAGAATTATTGTTGGTGCAATTGCGCCCACTGCACCCATGGTTCCTACACTTATGGGCCCATCGATAGCGCTTCGGTGATACCTATCGCCTAGATGCTGCAATGGGGCCCTTATAGTACAGTGTCAGACCCCCAGAGGCCAGCGTTGTATCCAAGGGTCAGCAAAGGGCCTCAAAGGCCCCAGGTAGGGCCCCAGAGGCTGATGTGGGCCTTCAGAGGC